TGATTGTCTTAGATTATATTTAGATAAAAAAGATATTTCATTTCTACTTAGTATAGTTGAAAAATCTGAAGATATAATTCCTGTTGGACAGAAAAACTTAAAGAAATATATTCTGATATAGAATATACTTGTAAACATAATATAGGAATTGATTATGTAGAAACTAGCAAAGAAATAAAAAAGATCTAAGATATTATAATTAAATACGAAAACATAGAAAAAGAAGTTTTAGAAGGTATTGTTCTTGGATATATAATTCAGGAAAATCAACCTAGAGCTTTTGAAAAGCTAACAAAATATAGAGAATATTTAGAACAACTTGAAAGGATAGGAATCCTAAAAATTAATGAACCAGGAGGAAAAAGAAGATATTGAAAGACTAAAAATAGTCCAAGATAGTACTAGTAAACTAAGATCTAGAGAAGTTGAGACACTTCTTCAAGAACTTAGAAGAGAAAATAATGCAGAAAGATGGGATAAGATCCGAAATACTAAAAGATATCACCAATACGAACAACAACACTACTTGATTTGGTTACAAGAAAATACTGAATTAAGATTCTCAGGATTAGTTCTAAGAGCCTACGATCCAAACAGAAGAATTGTAAGATATAATCCTGAACAATTACAACAATACTTAATTTGGTTACAAGAAAATACTGAACTAAGATTCCCAAGATTAGTTCTAAGAACTCGCGATCCAAACGGAGGAATTGTAAGATATAACCCCGGACCATCTAATAATTAAAAGATATAGGGCATACTTTGCAAATATAGAAAGAAAGGGCAAAGAAGGAATTTAACAGTAAGAAGATATTATTCTGTAAAAGATTAGGTAAAGAATTAGGTACATGTAGCATGACCCTAAATATTTTACTAGATTTTGATAAAAGATAATAATATATGTGATTGAAAAATTAATAAAATTGTTAATTTTATGACGTGTGATTAAAATTAAAGTCTGATCAATTGAAAATATTGACAAAGCTTTAATTAATTCATGTTCAAATTACTTGTTAATTTTCTAGTAGTATTATAATTATTGCTTCGAATTTCGAGGAATTTATGGTTTACACTTTATATAAATGGAAAGACTTTTAGCAGCTGATTGGAGAAAAAGTTGGCAATATCGTGGCATGTTCATCCTATAATTCAGTAGACTTTCTGTTTTGATGATTAGAATATTGAATAAGATCGAAATCTTTGCCAGAGTTTCTTTCAATGGGCCCATATGATCAAACACAATTGTTTAATATAGTTGAACAATTCAACATAAAATTTTGATGTCGAAAATAGATCGATTTTAACATCACCCTTCAATTCGAATTAGCAAAGATAATGTCTCATTACATAATATAAATCCCAAACATTCATTATCTAAATGTGAATTAATCGAATTACTTATCCATCGATCTGTTAGTTAATCATCTCTCTGAAGATAAATTCAATTTGTACGTGATTAGATGTTTAAATTTTTAGACTAATTAATCTCCCATGAGAAGAATAATCTTAATGCATGTTTGGGAAAACTTAAAAGTTTTTTAAAAAGTGGAAGTCAAATTCAATAATTAACTTAATCCTCACACAACTTTCATATAATTTTTCAAAAAAATGTTTTATCAACTTTTATCAAAATTTGTTAAAATTTTAACCAAAATCTTTGTAAAACAACTTCATTTATAGTTGATGAACAAGAAGAAACTATTGAGTCAACAAGAAGAAGTTATTGCGTTCAATTTAATTCAATCTCTTAATTTTTAATTATTCTAAATAAATAAATATAATAAAGTTTGCAATTGTTTTAGATTGTACCATGGTTTTCAGTTTCACCTAATAACCCGTTTGTTTCCCATTATTTGTCAGCAAGAATTAATTTTGTGATCGTTTTTCTCCAACACATGGGTCCCATTGCGAGATAGAAAGTCAAAAAAAAAAAAAAGAAAAAAAAAATGGCTTCCACATTTGCAACTGTTGGAAAATATATTAAAATGAGGTAAAAAAATTTGGAAACAAACAGGAGCTAAATAGCAAATGTTAAAACTTTCCATAACAAATTATGATAAATTCCTCTAGGGATCCTCAACCTTCTATAAATCTGATATTCATGTCCAAAACTTTTTATTCGTGGTTTCCATGTTCCAAATATTTTAACAATTTACACGTGCTATCCTAACCTGAAGGAAAACGTCTATTTGAACAATAAAAGGCCACACATCCCCTTCGGTTTCTAACATCTTGTTCGTCTGAATCGTGCATGCATTAATAGTGGAGCTCGTGAGACTCTTGCGGCTCTACCCATAGCAAATTTTTCACTACATGTTCCATGTGTGATGCTTCGAAATTATTTTGCAAGTGTTGAACATAAGTCATATGCTCTTAATTAATGATCGTACTACTAGACGTCGCATGGACTTTAACCATTTGATTAGCCGTTTTCTGTCAAGTTAGGATATCAAACACACAATGTTAAAAGGGTTAAGAGGCACAAAAATAAAAAGTTGGAGACATAGACATGACACAAAAAAAAAAAAAGAACCCCAAGAGGAATTTATCGCAACAATCATAGCATATGAAACCAAACTAGAGGTATGATGTGAGAAATATATAGACTACCTTGTGAAGAATAATATATTCCAACACATCCCAAATGTTAAAAGTGCGCAAAGATATAAAGTATGTTTGGAGTGACTTATCATATAAATAATCAATAAATGTGTAGCTTATATTAACTTAATTTGAATTTAGGTGGATCTACATTAAAAATAAGAAATCACATATTTATTGTTTATATTTAAAATAAGTCACCACATATACGCTCATAGAGTTATATGTAAAAACAAAAAGAAATTTTAACAAGAAGACAAAGTCGATGAATTAATTGAAGACTAAGTAGGTAGAATACGCAATCAGAAGTCACTTTTTTCTAAAAATTGGTATATCTATAAACTACGTGACATGCGCGTAATGTGGAGAGTTCCACATATATCGACTCAGCATCAATTATTCAATTCGCGCGCGCGCACACATATATATAATGTATTTTTATTATTCACCAAAGGAAATGTCATTCTAGCCATAGCCAAATCACCACCTCTTGTCTTTTGCACTCATTCTCTCTTGTCTGAATGTTGACTTAATTGTCGAAATACAATCGATCGTCAGACATTTTTCTAGAACGATGACCTTACCTTCTAATGGTGTATTCCAACGTACAAATGATTCCTATGTAGAGGATAGATGATCAGAATTTTGTTGATCACAAATCCATCGAATTTTGATGTCAACAAAAGTATAACGGTGGAAAAATATTAAACGGGCAAATTGTAATATTATAACGTGAAATGCACATGGGGGTCAACTATATCAACTACCAACTTGCTATATGTATATATATGCCAATTGCCAGTAGTGTAAACTTTTGCCCAAGTCAAAGTCAACCACTCATCACTGTCCCCATTCGTACAATTACTCCATTTTTTTCTACGATAAAAACAAAAAGTCCACTGGTTTATGTAGACTGATTCTTTTTCTTTTTTCTTTATATTTTCTTTAATGTAAATGCTAATTCATGTCAATATAAAAATTTAAATTACTTAACGGAGTTAGTCGCATAACACTATTAACAACTAAACTTGTTAATTTGAGTGGCCATTTTAAAACCGAATTAAGCAATTTAGTTCATTTCTTTAGTTAAGATTGGTCGAATTTAGATATTAAAACACTTTTATAATTTCACAACGAAATCCCATGAATTTACATTAATTAATAGGTATTTAGAGAAATTCATTTCTTGGTCATCTCAAAACGGAAAACATGAAAATTCAAACAAAAAATTAGATAATAATTTATTTTTGAAGCATATAGAATCGAATTGGCCTAAAGTCAATTCTCTAGAAACTCGAACCAAACTACTTGATTTCCACGCGTATATATGTAAGTAACGATGACGTCAAAATAGGAGTACAAAATAGTACATCACCAATATATTAATGAACCATTCATTCTCTTCCAATTTCAAAGTGCATTAGGAGTGTTACCATCCATTCTCCCCTACGTTCTAAACAAATCAATTTCACAAACCAAATGGGAAACCCCGGAGATACGCCGCCACCGCCACCAAACCACCAGCAACGCTCCACACTGAATAAACCACAAGACTTATATCCTGATGAAGATGAGCCACAGCAGTTTCCTCCGCCGCATGACCGCCCTCACTCTTTTCCTCCACCTCATGACGACGAGGATGATTACGCTACTCCAGTAAAGCCGCACGCTTTCCCTCCTACTCAAGACGATGATTATACTTCTCCTCCGGTGAAACCACAAGCCTTTCCTCCGCCTCATACTAATTTTCAGCAACCATTTCAGCCGGCACAAAATTTTGCTGCTCCACCAGTACACGGTGGTGTACCAGTCGGACACCCGGCAATGCAAGGTTCTCCTTTTAACCGGCCACCTACTCCGATGGCAGCACCCGCTACTCTCAATGGTTGGAGTAGTGAGCTGTTTGATTGCATGAAAGATCCTCAAAATGGTAATCATCTCTCTTTCTCTAGCTTCCTTCCATGAATTTACAGTAGAAAAATTACTTATAATTTACTGTTTTTATATTTCAGCTCTCATTACTGCGTTCTTCCCCTGCGTAACATTTGGACAGATTGCAGAAATAATTGATTCTGGACATACCTGTAAGTATATAACACTTTTCCTTTAAAACTTAAAACTTATGTTGCAAGAGACAAACTTTTTGTTGCTGTCAAACTTTGTCAATGGGCTCGACTTCGAATACCGTATCGACAAATTACTCCAGCGAAAAGGTGTCAGAAAAAGGGGAGCCGGGTCCTTAGCCGATAACACTTGTAGTGTGTCATCTGAGCATTCTCATTTCTCGAGGAAATTGTAATGACTCGAGCCTCTCTACTCAAGCTATTAACTTACGAATTGTCCGCTTTGGAAGAATCTGAGTGTATCTTATCCCTCCCGGCTTTCATTTCTGCCATTTCCCGAAAATTCAAACCCAAGTTTTCTACCTTATAGTCTCTCATAAGTCAGAGTTCTTGGGTTTGAATCCTAAAAACGTGATAAAAAGTCGTGAGTGGTAAAATGGACTCAAGCTCTCTCTAAATTGATAGCATGTAAGATATAACAGCTTGAGTTCGAGGCCTGAATCGTTACAAAAATACCTCGCCATCCCTCTTTTTGCTTGCACTTTTTGTTAAGTAGGTGGTAGATCCACTGCCAACTAAACGGGTGCTTTACACTAGTAGTTCTATACAATATTGTTTCGAGAAGCCAACTATAATTTTTTGAGACTGTTCAAAGATATTGACTAGAACACGCAATATTAGATGCTTCGAACATGTTTTGAAAACCGAAGGCCCAAAAAACTCTTGGAAAACTCTACTAAATTGAACTAATGTTGGGTCTATTCTAATTTATTTGTGTGTAGCTTGCGGGACGAGTGGAATGATGTATGGAGTAATTGCTTTTTGCATTGCAATGCCATGCATAATGTCATGCACTTATCGAACCAAGTTGAGGAGTAAATTTGGGCTAATTGAAACTCCAGCACCAGATTGGGCAGTTCACTGCTTTTGCGAATGGTGTGCTCTCTGTCAAGAATATAGAGAGCTCAAGGATAAAGGCTATGATCCCGCTATTGGTAAATATCTCTCTCTCTCTCTCTCTCATTAATATATATATATATATATTACGTTCCATCGCTTATCATCCCTCAATCTCATAGAAATTGATTAGTCGACACCGTCATTACAATATCTTTGAATTTAGAAGATTAAAATGCATGTGTAAATTGCAAAAAATCAGTCTTTGGACTACATTAAAATGAGATTTTGGGGAAAATAAATCTTGATAGTGATTTTTTTGAGAATTAATGATTGTAAAATAAAAAATAAATAAAATTGGTATACGTTTAATATTATTTTATGGGAGTACTTGGTGGAAAACGAGTTTTGGAACGGGAAAAGTAGCTCAAATTTTTATAATTGTAGTCTTTAACCTTTGAAAAATTAGCAAATTAGTCCTCTTTATAGTTTGCATCCATTTTGTCCATTAAGTCAAGTTACATGAATTTTACATGCATTTTAATAAAAAGTAAAATAGTCAACCAATAAATAAATACATAAATAATTTCAAGGGATCGATGCAAGAAAACTTATATCCCATGTTTGGTACATATTCTTTAAAATTCATTTTTTTTTCCTTAAACTCATTTTTAATCACGCGTTCTTTCC